AGATAGAAGAGAAGAAAGAGGATAGATGGACCACGTTCGTACGCGCGTGAGGAATATTAAATGTCAATGAACGGGCTTGAAAATGCGCAACGTCCAACCATCCGAGGAATTTAACGGCAAAGGTTCACGCTTTCCCGCCGGAGGGGAGCAACGCGTTTTTGCAACCGTGTAAAAATTCGCCGATGTGGCGCGCGTTGAAGGATGAATTGTCTCGGTGTGGCAATTCGCAGCCGAATCTCTGCCAAGTGACTATACGTCTTTCGTCAGCCGATAAAAAGTGCGCAACAAGACGTGCCCGCAACCACGCGGCAAACGGGAGCTACTTTTTCCGTCGCGAAAACGCGAAAAGCGTTTCTCGCCGGCGCGACGTCCGAGAAATCGAAGGGCTCCGACGAGGCAGCGCGTAAATCGCCCGGGAAAGAGAGACGCGAGATGAGGGACAGCGACGCGCGGGAGGACGGGGAAGATGTAAGATACGTCGATTAACACGGTCAAGGAATTCCGCACGTGCGATTTTTGCCGCCGAACGCTCCGTGCCCCCGATGAAATCCTATTTTCCCCCGACTATCTCTCCCGCCGTTATATACGGAGTTACGTATTTGGTGTCCGTCGACTGCTGACATTGTGCGGTAGAAATCCGCCGAGCGAACGGCGATTTTTCAAGCGGTCGACGGGTTTCGCCGCGACGCGGCGCGTGTATAAGGAAATCGATGTCCCCGTAACCCAGACCTATCGGACGTAACAGTTTTCACTGGGAGATCCGAGCCTCGGCCGAAACTACCTAACCGCCGTAGTTAAATTGTTTCGTCATTAGTAGCATCATTCATGCCATTAACGTCTCGCACACGCGCGCGAGTGGTTCCTCGTTCGATCTCGAATTTAATTTGAACGCGTGCCCTATCTACGTACGCGAACAATTTCGCTGCTTGCCACGCTGAAACATCGGCCACGCGCTCCTGACGAAGACCCATCGCGGTAATTTCATCTACCTCTTATTACCGCTGGACGGAACCGGCCTTGTTATCGCCGCTCTCTTGTAACGTACGCGTGTCGAGGCGACCATAAGCGATCTTGAAACGGTGTCCACGTTTTAGAATAAAATTCAAAATAGAAGTTTACTAAAATAGAATTACACAGCGGCGAGCACGTTAGCGCGTGAATTTCGGTAATTTTCCCGTAATACGGGAAACCGCTCCTCATTACAGACATTTTGATATTTCACATGTGTGTCAATTTATTATTAATAGAATTTACTGTATTAATGGCGGTTGGCATTAATGGGATGGCATTAATTCCGCATGTTCGCGGCGCATGTAGCCACTAACTGCTCGGATTATCGCGAATAATACAATTGTTCCGCGTTCACAATTGAGCCCGTGTTCTCCGACACAACTTCAGTGCCACGCTGTTCCCGAAATCGAAGACACTTTAGCGCGCCCTTATTATTAGCCTTCTTCCGATTCCTGCTGTAATTTCCAGCCGATGGCTAGGTAAACGCGCGTCGGGCCTGAAATCGCGGTAACCTCGAATAGCCCAGTTCCAGAGTGGAGCGAGACCCACAGACGCTCGTTATGAAATCTCCATAATAAACGAGTGTTGTCCCACCTCGTTATTAAAATGCCGACGTCGAAACGAAACAGCCAATGCGGCGAGAAGAAAACCGCAGCATCTCAAGTGCACGCTACACTTGCCTAATCGCGCGACCACAAATAGCGACGTTACGGTCGGACCGCTGCGCAAAGCCCCGGCGAATTTCGCACGATAATTACATGACGCGGACGCAGTCAACCCGCCAGATTTCTTTAAGACATGAATTATGATATCCTAATACACGACGAGTCGGTTTCGAGCGATTTCGCAATAACCCGCTCGTCCGCGTGCGCAGAGAGGAGTGCCAGCTAATTAACGCGTAATTAGTACCGGCGTATTAATTTGATTTGCAACGGTGCCTCGGAGGACGGAGGATATCGCCGGGCATCATCACGCGCGATATTGCGTTTGCCAAATTGTGGCGACAGATGGGAAAAAAGAAGACGAACCGCGTAAAAATTCCTCCGCAACTCGCTCTACGTTTGAAAGCGACGCACGTGCGTCGCGAGACCGCAACGATCGTCGCACGCGGGTTTAATAATATCGACGCGGTTATCAATTACGTGTTGCGCGTGCGTTGCAATTACGTTAAATAGACAAAACGTAATTACGTCGCGTGTAACAGGTGTGTTGCCACTTGCCGGTGGTTGACGATTTTCGCACGCACTTAGCCGATTAAACGCGCTCTGGAGACACGCTTTTTCTCCCCTTTCCGAGTCTTGTTGTTGTCACGTTTGGTGACATCGGACTGTTACAGCGCGCAATGTTGCGTGGCGATTTCTTCATCCCACCTGAATTCACAACTCAAACCGTGAACCGGCCTATCCCCGTTACCATCGTGCGCACTCTGTTTCCTCTCTCGCGCATATATGCACTTAATTTTTATTTAATTCAACTTAATTGAAATCGGATTTCTGCAATCAAGGTGATCCCCTTCTTGGCTTTCCTCGTAACGAGAATTTCTCTCTCACAATTATTTTCGCGATTTAACATATCCATCGTGAGATTCGGGAAAATTTTCCCGCCGCATATACGCATCATTTTCTATAAAGGATCTTCGGAGTTCGCGGGACTAATGATTTATGGACGCAGGGATCCGCGTGATCCAGGATTTGCGCGACCGAGCGGTATCCCGTAGAATCGCGGATTCGGGGAGCCAAAAATGTATGTCAGAGCTCCACTCCGGAAAATCGGTATAGCTGTCTGTACAGCCGATGAAATATGGAGCCGACATCCTGGGAAATCAAAAATCTACGGCGTTCCATCTGCGTCTACGAAAAGAGTGAACACGCGAGGAAGATGACACGTAGATTTCGGGATACGTAAGTCGGCGCGATAGATCTCGCGATACGTGTACTAGTTACGTTACGGGAGAGTGAGAAAGAGAGACGCTATAACGTGTCTCCAATGCGAGCACACGTAAATGCATGCCGCGCGTACCTACACCGTTCGTCTAGCTTGGCGCGCGACTTTCACCTTTCACCTCGCTCGAGCACGATTCCACTGTTGACTTCTCGAACTCTTACCCCACCAATGCATCGATCCACAGCATCGGATGCATCCGCGGCCGATAGTACGAGTACGAGTAGCGAGACGGCCAAAAGGCGCGTCACGATTCGGTTTCACTGGCGCATTCGTGGCATAAAACTGAAGCGATGGAAAGCATCCGTGCGAGGATGTACGGCGCGCTCTCTCGTTTCCTATAAGGTGTATCGCGTCGGGTTAACTGAAAGTGACCGTAAGATCGAACGCGGCCGTGACGAGATGATGACACTCATTTAAACGACGCAACCTGCCGGAAAAGTTCGTTCGAGTTCCTGGGGAGGAATCATGCGCTCTGTATCGAGCGTATCGAGTTTTTCGCAACACGACGCGAATAATTACCCGGCTGGTGTCACGCGGACGATCGATGCTATTTTGCGCGCGATTAATCGTAATTACGGTATTAAAGTGGTTATTTGAATATGCTAATCAGTGCGCTATGCTACGAATGAGTTACGCGTTGAGTTTCCTATCGTATCACAATCGATAATTTTATCGTACCAGTTCCACCTACGTGTCGTGTTTGCCTCGAGAAATACACGTCTCCGTTCTACTTCTACTCTCGTATCTTCATCTACGGTAAATATGACATTGTTTCGCACGAAACATGGAACACGGATAAACATGCGAACGAGACCCCGTATTTAAAGCTGGATTTACGATGATCACGTACGTTATAATATTAATAAAGATCGTCGTCCGCGAAAGGACGCCGTCTACACGGAAGAAAGTCACTCGGCAACATCCGTATGACCAAAAATACATGATTAAGTGCTCGTGAGCGTACCCATAAATTACTTCCCAACGAGGTAACCTGGAATTATGAGACGTGTGAGACGAGGCACGATTATGCCGTTCGTAATCCCTCCTGACGAAACGTGCTAACGTTCCCCGCCACCGCCGTTACTCCACATGAGAATAAGCAAACAATAACGGAAACGGCGTCGGCTCCGAGTAAAAAGATACTTTAGCGATCACGATCCGAGATTAAAGAGGAGCGTTATTACTCGCACGCTAAATTTTCCGTTAAAGCTATGTCGACATGTAACCGCGAGGTTTCTTTTTTTTATTTTCTTACGAGGTAATTAATTTCGCCAGCATGCCGCGGAAAGCATGCTGGTAACCTTGGAAATTAATGAGCTAATCGCAGCCTGCCGACGGGACGATTATCCGTACAGTCATCGCTTGCCGAAATAATCATCACAGCTAATTTTCACTTGAATTGAATTTGATTCGTATGCACACACATACGTGTGATTCGAAACCTTGACTATTCGCTGGTAATCAGAGTCCAATTAGAAATCTAAGATATCTCTCGGCTATTTAACTTTCAAAATTCGGATGGAAACAGTTAAATCATCTCACACAGCTCACGCATATATACACGCCCCAACATTCATGCGGAGACCTTGAACGGAAACACACAATGCGTACTTAATGTATGCACATAATGCATTAGGCCGTGATTTTATAACCGCCGACATTTTTCGTGTGTGCTACCCCAGAACGCGGAAACCCAGACCTTGAGGAGAAATCACGACATGCGCGCACGTTTCCGCTCATCCGCTCACAATAATAAGTCATCTCGTCTGTACGGTGACGTCAACTGTCAAAAGCTGCGATCACGGCCATAGATTTCATAATGATCACTTTCTACTTTCGACCGGCTTACCACCGCATCTGCGACTCATCATCCTTGGCAACGTCTTCTATACTGATTCTCATGTCGACGACATTTGACCCACGCGGCACGAACGCGATTTCGCGAGCCGATTATATTGTCGAAGAAATTCCGATCGAAATCGAGAGTACCGTCGCGGCGAGATGGCAACACTGTATTAACCAAAGTAAATTTACAGGCGGAAAGGATGAGGCTGATCGCGACGATCCTTATCGTCGCTTTCTCAGGCGCAGCGGTGGGCCAAGATTTCGGCGGTCATGCTCTATTCGTGAGAACCGCGGACGCTGATGCCGGTAAGAAAAAAGAAAACAAAAAGAAAGTGCGAAAGGACCCTACGAGAGTCCGCTTCGAGCGCGATCGGCGAGATCGGAGAGAGGCGGTACGAATTGTTGGTGATAATTATGAGACTTGATCACAAACAAATGGTTTAAAATTCGTTAGCACGCTCGAGAGTACCACGAGCTGCCCCAGCATCGCCGGCAGACGTGATGGCGCAAAATATCCTAGAGTGGATTCAGGGGATCTACCAGCAAGGCGCACGTAAAAGTAGGTTCCGCTTTCAGCTGAGAGGAAACGGCGCGATACGAAGCCGTCCCCATCGCCACGCGCGTACACATATGCATCATCGACGAGTAACGAGTATTCTTTTCACGACGATCGGTTTTAGCTATCTGACGTTGCGCGCTCTGATTTATAGACGGTTCAGTGACGCGCCGACAGTCAGGGGGACGCTACCGCTACTACGGACGTAGATGTGAATTCTGTGTGCAAAAGCTGCGACTATGCGCAGCCCGACGCAGCCGCGTCCGATTTAGACGCAAAATTATTAATCCATTTCGCCGCGCTATTCATCAATCATTCTACCGTGACGCCGTGGGCGTCACGGAAGTCTCTTCATGTTCATGACGCTGGGATTGGCTTTAATGCACGCTTGATTCGTTCGACAGCGAACCGTTTTCATTTACGATGCACCAGTCAAGTCTATTAACTGTTCAGCACATGCACTTCACGCTCTCTTTCTCTATTTCATTTTCCCTTTCTCGCCAAGTATTACTGAGCAATTCATCTTTTCTTAGTTATTACGATAAACAAAATTGTTCCCAGACTGCTAAGTCATTTGTATCCATAAAGATCACCATTACTAGTGATTTCTCACGCTCGACTAGCGCATGTATTCTTACAGTTCGCCAGCAATCGGACTCAAACGCTTACTTGCCACCATACAGCACCCAACGACCGCTTGAGAAACCCCGGCCCTTCCAACCAGCACCTCAACAACCGAGTTATCCGTCGCCCAACCAAAACGACGTGACGGGCTTCCCCGTTCAAAGGCCATCGTCGCTCTACACCCCGCCAAACGTCGGGCAACCTTCGCCCCCGCAGTTCCCTACCCCACGACCGGGCTATCCCAATAGCCAACAGCCGTTGTCGTCGACGTACGTGCCGCCAAGTTATAGTGGCTCCACGTCTTACAATCCTCGACCGAGTCAGCCCTCGTATGCGAACGCGGGCTCGTCGGGTTTTCCGCCACTAAACACGCTGGACACATCAACTACTTACCTTTCGCCACAGTCGCCGTCGTCCTTCCCCTCATCGACCAGCCCAAGGCCGCCTTTGCCTAGCTCCACGGCTGTCGCCGGGTCAGGTGGATTATTGCCTAGCGGCTTCCAAACTTCCGCCGGTGTCGGCAGCACCTCGGGAGTATACCCGTCTGATAGCACCGGAGGAGGTAGTACCAGTGGGACTTTGAGACCGCCGGTTACAGGAGGATATTCACCACCGGCTGGCTTTTCCACGTCGTATGGCTATCCGTCGGAACGGCCAACACCCAGTTTCCCCACTCCCAGCGACATTGGCACCGGTGGAAATTATCCCGGTCCTAGTTATATAGGTCCAAGCGTAGGATATCCGTCTACTTCGACTGATGGATATCCGTCTTCTACACCATCCCCGCCTTTTGATGAAGCAAGTGAGAGTAGTAGTAGCACTGGTATCACTACAGGAGGTCCCGAGGGTGAACCGGAGATTAGTGGAGGTGGAACTGGAAGTAAGTTAAAAATACTACATTAATATAATATATAATAACATTAATACAACATCATATTTTTTTTAATTATCATTATTATTATAACATTAATATAATATAACAACAGATACATGGTATGCAGAAAAGAATAATAATTCGTAATTTTATCGTCAAGCTATTGTCACAGAAGACGATCTCAATCACCCTCCGCATATTCACAATCTCGACGTAATGTGCAGTAAGACCATGATGACAATCAATATTGAATTCAACCGCGTTTTCGACGGTGTTATTTATTCCAAGGTAAACACGAAATACTCCTCGAGCAAAACGATATTTCATCAATAATAATATGTCAATTCTATCGAACTTCAGGGATTCTATACGAACCCGGAATGCAGATACGTAGCACAAAACTCTGGCCGGACAACATATTCTTTCACTGTAAATTTGAACTCGTGCGGAACTCAATTCATCAACGACTTTGAGGGTGAAGCTGGTCAAGCATACTTGGAGAACGTCCTCGTGTTGCAGGTCAATATAGAGCTGTATAAATTAACAAGTCTACTTTCTCAATTCGTTTTCGAATGAAAAATTTCGTTTGAACAACAGACAATATCAGAAATTTCTATTTCTTTTAGAACGAACCAGGTATACAAGAAGTCTGGGATACAGTGCGAAGAGTGCGATGTCTTTGGGAAGGAAACATCAGTAAGGCCTTGACGGTTAATTTCTCTGTGGACATGCTGAACCAGGAGATTGTTACCTTCAGCGGTGACACAGCTTCAGCCAAACTAGACATTCAAATCGGCAGAGGACCTTTTGCACCAGCGGCCGATGGCCTCGTGAAAATCGGAGAAACAATGACCCTGGTCGTCTCCGTGGAAGGCGATCCAGGTTTTGATCTTCAGGTAATCTTCTACGCACGTTGAAAATTATATTCGCAATAGATTTGTATAATAGAATCACGCGCGCGTTCGCCGATATTAAAATCAATAATGCATAAAAATGTACTTAAGCATATAAAAAATAATTACATATTAATAATTATTTCCCGAAAATGTTAATTTCAAAAATTGTAAAATTTGGCAAAAACTTTAGATTGCAAATAACAAATGCGAATTAAAAAAATTAATAATATATGATTATTTTCAAGGTGCGTGACTGTTTGGCACGAGACGAAACCTCGACCAATACGCTACAGCTCACCGACGAAAGAGGCTGCATTCTGAAGCCGAAGTTGTTCGGTGCCTTCCAAAAGACAAACGACACGGGAAATACGGGTGCCTCTATTATTGCTTACGCATTTTTCCAAGCCTTCAAATTCCCTGACGTTATGGACCTGTTCATCGAGTGTAACGTTGAGTTGTGCAAGACGGATTGCGAGCCTTGTCCAATATCAAACCAGGTAAGGCGTTAAAATCGTCATTCTTTTTAACATCTCACCTAATCGTTGAATTTAATACATGGTATGTTCTAAAATTATATTTAACTTCATAAAGCAATTCCAAAATCTATGTAACCTATTCGATGCAAAATATAAAAAAATGCTTGCATAAAAATGCTTTTAAAATAAATTACTCAAAATTTTCTTATAAATACTAACTAAACGCACAAATTATGTAGAACTATTACAGAGATTTATATAACTTGTATCTTATTCTAAATGATTAATTCATTTTAGCAAATCGATCCAGGCAGACGTCGTCGGTCGCTAACATACGCATCACCATTGAACACCACGATGAATCCGGTTCTCTTATCAGACCCTGTTCGTATCGGACGCGGCTTCAAAGTGGTTATGCTAGACGATCTAAGCGCAGCGTCCAGCCATATCTTAGAGAGTATGGAGGAAACAGCTATCGAGGCGATGACGAAGGAGAAAAACGTTTGCATGAGTAACGGTGGCTTTTACACAGCCTTCTCTCTCATGCTGAGCACACTTTCGATCGCGACTGTGAGCGCGGCCGTGCTCTATGTTAAATTGCAACGAGTCCGCAGAACGAAATTCGTGGATTCGTAGAAAGATGTTACTCGTAATACTTCTTTCTCCTTATCATCGTGTATAACAGCGGAAAACGAGTTGCGTAACGAACAATGAACGCGTGCCAGTAATCAAATAATACCTACTTAAGAAACAAGTGACCGTTATCCTATCGCTTCATTACTACCACTTAACTTACGAAGGAATTGATCGAGGAACGGAAGGAACGTCAGAGAATGTCACATCGAAATGTCTCGAGAAACCATTAGCCACAGTTGGTGAGCTACGACGATAGTTTTATTGAACTCGCGCTGCTTTTCTACATATCTCAATAAGTAAATCTTACACAGCGCGTTTAACGTTGTCCGAACTTAGTAAATTCGTTCTGCTTCGTCAGCAGAACAGGGGTGCAGCCATATTTTACATATCAATATACGATGATATCTAACAAACTATTCGTACAGTCCTCGCGGACGACAATAGTGCTCATTTCGTATAATATTGAATACCGATACGATATGGTATTTATTACATACTTCGATACCAGTAATGTAGATTTTAAGGGCGTTAAAATAAATTATAATATTTGTAAAAAAAAAAATAAGGCTGTCTCATCTCGATCGTCCCTCTTCGTGAACGAACAATCGTTATTTCTTATCTGTTAAAGCTGTAACTTATAAAGATATGAGAGTCAAAACGAAAATATAAGAATAAGGAATTATATTACAATTGTATTAATTGTAATTAATTAATTATAGTACATAACAAACGCTCATAAACAACGATAAAGTGGTCTGACATTATAGTCGTCTACTAGAATATGATTTGAATGAATGCAATGCCTCCCGTTCATTATCATGGAAATCGAGGATTAAAAATACAAATAATGCTCAATGGATGATACAACGAAAATACAATATTAGCTTATCTCGTTTACCTTAGCTTTACAAAAACGTAAAACGTACAAATGCTCTCCCCTAACTTTCCTCTCGCAAACGATTCTACCAGACATATTCAACTTTTGAAACGCACTTAGAATATATTCAGGGTCGTTCTCTTTGATTACAACTAAGTAAAACAACCCAGCATCCGACAAGATCTCAGGAATCGTACTAAATACTTGTTCCATGACTTGCCTACCATGTTTACCACCCGCCCAAGTCTTGAACACAAGTCTGTCATCTAACACTTCCTCATACTCTGTAGCTACATATGGCGGATTGAATAAAATAACATCGACCTGCCCCCTAATCCGTATACAATCTAACAGATTCATCTGAAGAACATTTACAACGACAGAATTATCCAGACTAGTTTTTCTCGTGGCCTTACATGCATCAGGATTTATATCGACTGCAATAAAGTGAGCACTATGGTATCTCTTCAATGCCATCGCTAGAGCTGTGATAACTACACCAGAACCACTACCTATTTCTAAACAAATCACAGGCTTTATCGCTTCTAGAACTTCCAGATCTGCTTCTAAAGCGTCTATCAGAAGATACGAATCTTCAGAAGGCTCATATACTGTTTTGAGCTCTTCATCTGACAGCTTAACTATAGGTGTCTCCATGATTCTTTCTTATGATGTAAATTATATAAAGTTTTCACATATAAAACTTGCAAAGTGGTATTTTTCAAGTAACAATTTGGAAATAATATCACATTAATCTTATAATTAACGACAACGAAAATTATTGCTGCTGCTTATCAGCTTCTGCTCGGATTGGTTCTTCTTTATCAGGCTCGATAGTAATGCTGCTGTAAGCAGAACTATTATCTAACAATGTCTTTCTTTTGGCAGTGCTTTTCTCGACAGCTTCATGCACCTTGTTCAATCGTTCTTGAGTAGTTTGCAAGATATTACTAACGATAGTGATTTTATGCTTAGCATTAACAAGTTTCTTTACATAAGAATCTGTATCTAATGGATACTGCAGTGCTTCATTGATCCTTTGGAGTTCCTCAGTTAACGATTCAATCCGCTGCTTCAGTTCTATTTGACATATCCTATATGAAAAGAAAGACATATATAAATTAAAATTCTATAAATCCAACTTGATTCTGCCTGGTTCTCAGCAATAATTAATAAACTTCCAAGTAGTTTTTCAATATGTCACATTTGATATTGATAATACTTGTAAATAAAATAGATAAGGTATCATATATTTTTCATTTTCGCAATTGCAGAAATGAGTGGATGAATATACATGTACATTTGTTTAAAGTTACATGCTGTGAAAGAACCACAAGAATAGTAAATGCATAATAATTCAATAAATTATGTAAAATAAATGCACAGTCGTAAATTCTGAGGGGAGTTTACCATTCGTAAGCAATCGTAGCACTGAATCACAATGAAAAATTCGCGTTCACCTTGTAGCACGAATTCTCTCGTCCAGTTGGTCCACCGTGGGCTTCAGGAGGCTCATAAGACCCTCCGTTAACGCATCTCGTGTTGGATTCTCGCAAAAGTCGTCTATTTTATCGTCGATAGACGTATTGTCACTCGCTGTGTCTACGTCCATGTTTCAGCCGTATGAGAGGTTATGTAGAAAAGATATGATGAAAGGTGAACCATGAAACGGCGTCTCGTCACATGAGAAAATTCGTGTTGGTAAGTTACTGGCAATAGGCATATACGATTGCTGACTACACCGATACCAAGATACCAAGTTTCAGAAGTTTCTATTCGAATTTACGTAAACTGAAGAAAACTATCGTAATACGATCTTATCGTTTGCTTCTGTTATCGTATCATACGATCTCTTTAAAGTGGGGTTAAGAGGGTTCTATCCTTTATTATGGCACGGTTGAAGGATCGAAAAATATTCACGCACATTCAGACACATGTATATTTATAGAGAATGTATCAAATTCGTACCTTGATTGACAATCAACGATATCAGCGTTTTGCCATTATTTTTGCTCTGTCACTTACTCAATCTATACTAACAATAGGATGCACTGTTGTGAGGGAAACCTACATACATCCTGTTCGCTTTAACTAAACTAATGTTGCACTGGAATTTAGCTTCCTCTCTCTTCAACGCTAGATTATACACTTGTTTCATTTCAAAGGCAAACAGTGCAATCTGGTTCAGCTAAATGACAAACCTACACACACGCACACCTATACGCGAATACGTTTCAGTTCCGATTCGCCCGTTCCGTATTCGCTTGAGATATTCCTCATGTTTAACGCGTTTCCCGCGTTCGACTACTAATACATGGCATATATATGTAACACCATGACAAGATGTGCGTGACTGCCAATACTTAATCGATATTATCAGCGATATAGACAATAATAATCGATGAAAAGTCAATATTACATGTTATTAGCTAACCAAATATCTCTAGAGATGATTGAGACAATGGGTAATGGCAGTACTCTCTTCGGTTATTACTGGCATCACCGATAGTCACGAAGGCACTTGATCGCTATTCATAATAATATCTCGTCGATAATAACAACGAATTTGTGTGCAGAATTAGGGAAAAAGGCGTGAACTTACCGAAACTGTAGGCGCCGAATCTCGAAGCATCCGTCTCGTGAAGAAGTGGGAATGCAGTCACTCTATCTCCCTCGCACCCTCGCACGACTCCATGATGGCGACACGACTCGCTTGACCAACGGACACCAGTTACGAGCATCGAGGGGTATTGCGTTGTATCGTATTCCAGCGCATCGATTAACAGGCTGAAATGATCGCCCGACACAGAATTCGGCCCTCTCGACACACGTTCGCGCAAAACATTCGCTTCCGACGTGAAAAGAACGCGACGACCACGGAACCGACGCGAGCCGTGGTTCGAATCGTCGTGAGACGATGCGGACTGCTGCAAATTGAACCGATCACGTCACGTGACGTCAAATCTCTCGCACTGGGCCCATTTGCAGAGCATCTTGGGACGATTACTCGGGTAAGGAGATGCGCGCGCTGCATCTATAATAATTTCAGAAATATTAACAGTTTCCAATATGGACGGATCGGTTACGGTAAGGATCGTGTCGGGCGATCTAACTTCGGCAAACTGATCTGTATTTTCCGCGATTTCGACTCGGCGGAGGCGAGTCTCGCGTGCGAATCGTCGTCCGGAGTGCCGAAAGTAAGATTCGTGGCAAAATACTCTGAAACGTCGCCATGAAAAGGATTATCAAGTATGTTTGTCCGTATGTAAAAGCAGTTCGAAACTCAAACGCCACTGCACGTTTTCGACCTGAGAATGATATCGCGTACAGATTTTCGTCAAGAACATGTAAGTTTCGTACATTTATTGTTAACGAGATTTATTATTATCGAAATCGTGAGATTCTCGGATGTCGGAGCTTTCTCGACCATTTTGTATATGTGTGAGTGCGCAGATTTTGAAAAATAAGAAGACGCTTATGATTGGTCCGCTCGCGTCACCTGAGCCAGTCGGTCGGTGCTTTTAGAAACTAAGCCGTTGCAGTATTCAGTGAAGGAACGGGTCGAAACGGATAAGCCGGAGCAATTTTGACTCGTCGAAGGTGGATCTCCCGCGTGAATTATAGATGGGAGTGTCGAAAGTAAAGTCCGTGCGTTCGTCGTGCCAAGGTATTGTTGGAGAGCCACCGGGAATAAATATATCTCGCGTTTGAGAGCATCGAGTAAAGTGTCGTGCGATCGTTAGGTTACGATAGTTCGGAGTTCAAGAGTTTACTTTTTATGCTTTCGAAGCGACAATCTCTTGCGGAAATTATCGTCGAAAGTGTCGGGAACAAGTTCCGTGAATCTGTCGTGGCGAAATATCGTCATTTAGCCGTCGTAAGTGAGCATCGCGGAACGGATCGTCGGGCGTATCGAGTGAAGTTTGCGCACTCCATACTCCGAGAATCGCAATCGTCGCAAGGTAACCAAAACAATTTCGGAATGTATCACAACGTTGCAATGCGGATTCGAGGCGCCATCCCATATTTCTCGCGTGTGAATTATCATTGTCGGGAGTGCCGAAAGAAAATCTCGTGCATTTATTAATAGATATCGCGAAACGGCCATTGAAGATAAATATTTTCAAAACATATTAACGGGAAGGCCGAATCAAAAGTCGCACCGTTCGTCTGGTTAGAGCAGTTCGGTCTTCAAATTTCAGCTCTTCGATTTCGGAGGAAAGTCCGACACACGAATTATCGCCGGGCGTATCGAGTGAAAAAGTTGCGCGTAGCATTAATAATTCGTGATTCGGGAGCGCTCTTTTGCTTTCGGCCGGTAATAAAGAAGTCAGTAAATATCGATAAAGCAGAATATCTGCAAAAGTACCCAAGCGCCAGATGGCCGAGCGTCGGCATAGTCGTGTTCGGTCGTTTGACTGCTAACAGTCCTTCACGTCGGTAAAGCTCGGAGCTCTGTTGAGCTTCTCTTCTCGAAAATATGTGAAATATTAATATTTATTTGGTATTCGATATTTTTCACATATTTTCGAGAATAAGAATCTTGATCGCGATGTAATTTCGTTCTACGTCACTTGTTGCGCCACACGTTGCGCCTTACGTTACCCAGCGTGCGTTCGCTCATTCGTTTCCTGTTGTATCATCGCGATCGCGAGATGGCGACTCGATGGCCGTTTCGTCGCGTGAAGTCGTCGCGAACGACATCACCGTAGTATCAAAATGGCCGTGACAGTTTCCGCGATTTCGAGTGCAGTGTTGTGAGTGCGCGTGAAGTTCATCGGGTAGACCATCACCTGGGAAGGACATCGCTACTGTGGGAGGCTTCCCCGAAGTATGACCGACAATCCTGCGCCACTGGTGAGTCATGACATCTTATACAAGACGAGTTTGAACGAGGTGAGTGTCGCAGAAGACTGCTAGGTTATCGGCTGACATGCGCGTTTCTCAGCCGCATCATCGCGTTACGTGATTATCTCGTCGTTTCTTTCCGGCCGAAATTTTTGACAGAGGACGTTTCTCGATATTCATAAAATCGTTGTGAGATATATCTATGCACATTTTGCATCCGAGAAGCACGCAGTTTGCGCAAACGCACCGGCCGAGGTTCGATGTCCGCTCCGATTTGACGTCACTCCCTGACAGTGGCTATCACCTGTTCCCACCGACGGTGACGTCACTGACAGCGATGACGCCAGCGGTCCCAGCCTCTCCGAGGAGAGCTGTGCCGGTATCCTGAACCCGGTCTTATTGATACTCATCTGTGATGCAAGTCTTATGTTGGCATTATGCAGCATTCTCGACCAACTATTATACAATATTCTTGACAGGATGAATTTGCTAGATTTTCGTGACAACATTCAAAGTAATATCATATTTCGATACTCTTCTGGTGTCCTCTTTATATTTTTCAGTGTGTACATTAGGTTTAATCACTTTTTATAATTATTACTTAAATTCGTGTAATAAGGAAATGTTTTTCACGATATCAATTTGGTATTCGGGAAAGTATATGTAAAAGAAAGAAAGGTCGAAATTATTAATAAAATTTGATATTTTTCTTTGCAATACGCTATCACTTTTTGTTACGTATTGTTTGAGTTTTTGTTACGCGTGACACTCGAATTAACGTATTGTTGGTGTATAATCTACTAATATGAAGCAAGTTAACGTCGTAAAGACACGTTGTACAAAGTGCGTTATGAAAAATATGTTTCTTTCAAAACGGAGCACCGGTCATTATTCATGCATACCGAAAATTAAGTAGCTCGCATTGAGATAAATGATCGAAAGGTTTCCACCAAGATGACATCATATTCACGGTATGACGTAGGCGAGACCTATAATATAGTTGATGCTGGCATTACGCGGTACTCGCTTACGTCAGATGGCCGCAATGCATGTGACTGCATCACAAAGTGAAGTTGCATAAGGCAAAGGGACAATCTTGTTAAGGGCTGTTCCTTGCACATGTTGAACTAAGTAGTCTGCTATACGTTCCGGAAAGTTGAGAGATGCGGCACTTGTAAAGAGGCGACAACGAAAAGTCACTTTTTCGTACCGAGAAGAGAGCTTCGTTGATTTAAAATTAAACTTCTACATTAAAATTATTCAGGGATGAAAAATATTAAATGCAAAATGCATTGATTACATTTTTTCTGTGTATGTCATAGAAAATTACATGGAAATATTTAAGTCGATGTTAAATAAAAATTTTGACCTGGAAATCATTTTGAATTTCATCGAACATTATGTCGAAATATTTTGTAAAATCAATAATTATTCGATATGCGTGCACCTTTTCGAATTCGATGGACATTACGAGGAAATATCATATGAAATTGATAATAATTCGATATGTGTATCGTATTAAAATTAATGACGCGTAGCCCGGCGCAAACAACGGATTTTTACTCGAAGGGATTGTAGTAACGTTAAAGCCGCGTGTAACGTTACCGTTTTACCGTCGATGCTGATCGAGTACAGAGTATGTTTGGACAAAATTACATACGGCTTTTCATTGTTTGGACATCAGAAATTTACGGTTAGAGCCACGGTTGTAGTAATACTCCACTGCCTAAGATATTGATCTTAATTTGAATCCACTGGGCGTCACCTTAATTCGGATCAATTGACCCGTCAATTAATATGAGTGTAACGGCCGATCGACTGTGGGAATAATTAGGGGAGACGGTTACGTAGCCTCAAGGCGTCGCAAAAAAAGTAACAAATAATCGCGTCTTTTTGTCTTTATCTCTCGATTATGGAACGTATAGCAGATTTTACAGCAGTTAAAAATATCCTATTTATATATTTATATATTCCTTTGAGCCTTTCTTATTTATATGTTTATCTGTTTTTTTTTTACTCTGTGCATATGTATATATACTTTGTCTCGACTTTTCTCGAGACACAAAATTGTCAACGTATTCGGAGTTGAACCATTTTAATCGGTGAATTTATCAGTTTCTGGAACGCGTTTCAGAGCACGCTCTTTCTTAAGTCCTTTTCTCATCCAAACGAATATCGTGATTAAATTCCTCCTTGGCTTCCCCGGAGACGTTGTAACATTCGGCATACGTATACATTTAGTACCGTAGCATTGCAATGTGGTTATACGGCTCGGAGGAAAATCGGTGCGGAGTGATTTATCGCAGGCGATTTAAAACATCGGCGTATAGCTGGATTAGAAATTGCAGTTAGTTTACTTCGGCGAAACGTACGGGATTTCCGGGTTGCCATTAAGAGACAAATTGCGTGACCACGTTAGACAAATGTCTGAGCTATCCCGCAAGATTTCCGGTTTATCCACGGCTCTACGCGAAACCAGTTCGATCAGCCGCGAACATTTTTAGCGAAGACGCGCAATGTCGAGATCTCGCGAAGTCGCTGGTAGATGCCGCCACGGCTATAGATTACTCCACTTTTACAGAGTCCATTCATAGCTGCCTAAGTATGACGTAGTAGAAACTACGATCGTTAACGAAGCTAAATATTAAATTACTACGATGTCCCGCTGACAAATCAAACGACGGAAGTGAGTAACGAGAAGTAGAATAGCGCGTTCTATAAAACGTTAGGAAATTGCACCATTTGATGTAAGAATTTTCTCAACAGTCATACTTATAATAATTCATGTGAGAAGTCGCATGTGAATTTTTCAATGTTATTAGATCAATGAGCGACAAACGTATGTTGAAAATTCTTTAATTTTTGAAATGAGATCAAATAAAGTAGTTACTCACGTTTGTCGAGTGTGAAACCCGAATATGTACAGGAATATAGTGATCGCAGTGGGATTTAGGTAAAGGTCGAGAAAAATAGCCATGTCCAGGCTGGGATTGCGTGCGAGATCGACGATCGTCGTTGATGAGCGTTTCCCGGCGAGATCAACCGATACAAGCGCACACTCGCACACGGTCATCGCCGTCGCCATTACCTGCCTGCATCGCGATATTATACTCACGAACATTCCGCGAGTGTCATTCCGCCGAGAATAGCTTCGTCGAGAGAGAAATCCCTTGCCGGCTCGCGTCATCTCGATGGACAGCTCACCTTCCGTTTGACGATATCACCGCTACAAAGCGACTTATACGCGCGCAATGTCATGAGAGAAGGAAGATCGCGGTTTTGAATCATTCACGATCGTCAGGATTCGATAAGGCGCAATTTATGACTCGCGAAGATGTCTCTTTTCTTTTTCCTTTTTTAATCGCGTCTATACCAATTTTTACGCTCCCTTCCGTTGATGTTATCCCTGCCGGCTTATTCTGGTTGTATGAGAAGAAATTACGTTTCGTAGCAGATACATGTCTGACAATGTCAGAGAATGGGATAAAAATGCTCCGGAAGCCGCTACGTTATTTCAGGCAGTCACGCTAAGTTATGGGAGATTACATCGCGATTATGATGTGGGATATAGATCATAGAAAATTGTGTTCTTGGAACTTATCCAATTCGTACGAATCGAGAAGCTTTTCGATTAACAGCCCCTTTTTTTCTTAGTATTGTCGCGTCGGAACATCAATTACACGAGTGTTACTCGCTATTATGAAATGCCAACTTATTTCTCGGGTGTAGCCGAGTTATTTATCATCGCGTTTAGAGGCGACTAATTTATTTTCTTCACGACGAAATAACCTCAAAACATCCGTAAAGTCCTGTCCCGAAAATAATTTACACCCACGAGCCGATTTTAGAATTAATCGATTCTCCGCCGAGTCAGCCCGTCGACTTTCCGATCTTTCGTAACCTTTCGAAATCCTTGGATAACGAGCTTGCACCTTGCATGCCGCCTGTACTCGCCGTAGCTTCCTCAGGTCGAGAGATTTTTGCTTGATACCCTTCTCGTTAGCGTATTAGGAAGGACGTGCACGAATAGGAGCGGATGAGTCGAGGTACGTCCCCGTTTCGCGTACGAGAAAACTCGTGACTCGAAATGACGTAGCTCGTGTTTCTCTCGGTCGGTTTTTCTTCGCTCTCTCTTGCTCTCGCTCTCTTTCTTTCTCTCTTTATGGAGACGCTGTTTACTGTCGGTGTACATACGTACACCGACGCCTCCGCACTCGATGATGCCGCTCCTTGCGCAATCGCCGTTTACGTTTCGCATGATTCATGCACGAACCGGCGTCGGCGTCATCGATGTTGGATTTCTCGAAACGAGGTCGCGCGGTGATTGTCACTGGACGGATCCGTCGATGATTCCCTGTTGATGCATTCCTAGCGATGATCGGCTGGAAATAGTGAATTTAGCGTTCGAAGGCACACAAGAGGGTGTTCGTGGAGCAACAGCTGACCTATTTGAAATTCAAAAGTGAATATCACTTTTTTGGGACTGTTGCCAGCTGAAAGGGGAATTCTATTTTGCTTTCTGATATTCATGAAAATCGCGGCTTAGTTTCATCATTTAATACGGTGATTAATGTGTCGCTTGCGTATCACGAGCCACGTAGGCCTTTGCAAAAGATTCGTGCGGAAGTACTCGGAAAGGGATTGTATAAATTACGGACCGAATACGCCTTAATATTCTTCCGTTTAATTCTCGATGAATTATATTTGCGTCTGAAGGCGAAATTCGCTAAGCTCGCGAGTGCTATTGAATTAATCGCTCGATGAATATTCCTCGATATTTCTCTTGTATTCTTAATTGATGTACGGATGTGCGGCAGCACGCGTACGTTTGTGTGCGTTAAGCTTTGTCGAGGCAAAACTTATAACTCTTCGATATTAATATATCCGGGCGTACATTTCTTGAAGCGAATATTAATTGCATTGAAAATTTCGCAAGATAGAAATAACAAAATTTTGATCAACGTACAATATCAAGTTTTAAATATCTGTCGACTTTCTAACAATCACTTTTCCTCGATAGTTGCAGTGCCATCCATTGAAAATCGCATCGTTGGGAATGATATTTTGTATTCTAGCTCTTCTCGGTTCAAAGTACCAAATGTATTTAGTTTCGTTATTACACTGACTATTGGTAACCTACCCGATAACTGCAACGATCGATCAGAAGAGTACGGTGCGTCGCGGTAAGAGCGGGCATATGGAAAGGACAGCGACGCCAGGAATGACTCCCCTCGCGCCACTGCCATCTCGATTCCACGTATTGCATCTGCATGTTAAGTTAGATTGACTCCGAGAGAACTGAACCGTGAGCCACTCGAATATACGCGCCGGTCTTCGCCGTCTCTTGCCTCCTCTCTTCTTTCGCGATATATACACCCGTCCGAGCGCACACACTCTCGCAAATGCGTACGCCAATTGTATTTGCATATTTCAAATTATTTCGAGGAAGATGCTAAGTGGAGCGTCGCCTCCGCGCAAATGGAGCGATTCTCCGTTTATCTACGTGGCTTTTTTTTCCGTTCCCTCTTTTCTCTGTCCCGCCCTCTCTCCCTCTCTCGTTCTCTGCCTCCCTCTCGGGCGCAGCGATGCCGCGTAATCGATACCACAAATGGAGCCCTTCGCATTTCTCCGCGAGGAATTAACCGCGTCGATCGCCCACGCAAGAATGAACGTACGAACGAACAAACGAAAAGAGCATTCTTCCGCGCCTACGTAGTGGACTCTCGAAATCGTACTAGCGTCATTTAAATATTTGTTCGCCGCGCGCACGCTTTGCACTGCGAATTCTATTTCGCGAAATCCCCAAGCTCGCTGAGAAGTTTCACAGAGACGCTTTCGCCATCTATAAACGCTGAGAAAATTTCGCTCGACTGTCGCCGCGTGCTCACGCGCATCCTTCCGCGTTTATTTGCGTTTTTCGCATCTCCGCCGCCGCGCTCTCTCCGACGAAAATAAATATAAAAATTACGTGACGGGACCTCGATGGGTGCGCTCACGGGTGAGTTTATATTTGCGAATTTTCACGCTCGACGGCCGAAGTCGTTATGAAGTTGTTTGCGCGCCGAGTCCTCGTCAAGCAGCGGCACGTCTACCGGCACACGGTCTCGAGAAAACGATGAAGCGGGACTTGACGACGATGAAGGAACGACGAGACAAGATGAGAGAGAGAGAGAGAGAGGGATGGAGGGAGGAGAAAGAAGAAAAAGAGAGAAGATACGTAGTATCGGTTCCTTTTCGCCCGCGGGATTCGGCGGATTGCGTCTGCGGGAAAAAGTTACGGGAAATACTCGCGGCGTGATCCCTGAGATGGAAACTTGCTCGCTCGCGTGCGCGGATATAAAAGAAACTTTCCTTTCACGAAAAAATAATGCGCATTTCTCGCTCTCTCTCTCTCTTGCACGAGCGCGCAGTGCCTTTTATGTTGCACGCGCTTGCATATTCCACAACGTTCCGTTATTGTTCCGAATACGCGCAAAGAGTATTTCCGTGAAGTTGGGCACTTCTTTTTCAAACGATGATACATAACCGCGAACTTGGATGACTCGTCCGAGATTCTTCGTCACTATTAGTATCCTCCCGTGTCATCTAGTCGCCGTCACCGCCGCCGTTCTCACGCGAAACCGCGAAGTACGTCACGATCGTCGTCTCCTGCGCGATTTCGTGTATCTTCATTTTCTCCGGCAAACAAGAGGCAGATACACTCCTCGGAAGCGAAGAATGCGGATACGCGTTGTTTTCTTGGCGCGAGTCGCGTAACGGCGGTCATTATTAATAGTCGCAATGTGGAGAGGTAGAAATGATCGATATGTTGGCGCCAACGGAAACAATCTTTATTGCGAACAAGCACACGGTAATTTCATTCCGCAACGGTCGCTTGGTAAAACCATTCCGCGCGTCATTTAACGCCGCGGCAGCGGAGCCTCTTGGCGCGATAATATCTGTTTGTAAATTAACACACGACGCTGGGCCAAGTCGCTTGCTGGATGTTTCTGTACTTGGAGCACACGTCCACGTTTCTGTGGCGAAACGGCAGCTGCACGATGTTAAAGTCGTAGTCCGTGTTGACGAGAATCGCGTTCACCGAGGGTAGGTGTAACTTGTTGGCGATATCGTCATCCTGGAGCGCGCCGGTCACCGGGTTCGTGTAAGAGCAACGGGTCTTCGCCAACACGCAGGCGGTGGTGTTGACGAACAATTGCGCGAGCTGCATCACCGTACCGTTGAACGTTCCGTTTGGAAACATTCCCATAGCCTCGCTAACACACTCTCTGAGCTACGGAAAGTATTCGTCAACGATATGTCGTTAACGGATTCGGCTGTTGTTCGCGCTCTTATAGTAAATTTTACAGTGCGGCCTGTGTTGGTGAAGTAGGTTTTAATATCGTGCAGACGTATAACATTGTATAATACAGAACGATGACGAGACGCGAGACTGTACAACATTGTATAATATAGAACGAGGTACACGAAGGTCACGTATCCTCGTATTCGCAGTGATCGTGATCTCAGTGAGGCACATGCGGAGACGTCATCGATGCATTCCGAACGAAGTAGAAAGCCGCGGCTTCAAGAATGCAGAGATTATCCGGTGATTGTTAAATTACTCTCTAATTACACAAACGCTGTTCAGCACTGGAAGTTTTTTGTGAAGTAGAAAAGGTCTCTCCTGCTCGATTCGCGACGCAAATCCTCGCGGTGATAGCCTTAATCCGCTTCTGACGTCTATATCCTAAATAATATTTATACAATATGTTCTTCGTTATCTATGTACAATACTTGCACTATATACAAGCCATACCCAGCGTCGTGCGTTAACTATAGTCAGCCAATAATAGTAAGATCTTGAAAAGTTTTTAAATAATTAATAAATAACTTTAGAAATTAATTCTTCACGCGTGTAGGTGCTGATATAGATGAAAAGCTAATATGAAATGCTGGCAAATGTGGGTGTAAAACGACTGTGACGCGAACCGAACGACGAGACAATAGCGTTCAATGAAGACGCGTTGTATTAAGGGCAGTAAAGAGAGGCAATCATAGCGTTTTGAGTAGCGTATATCGACTGTTAGTTCAAAGTTCAGTCTTACCAAGCTGTCCTTATTGACTTGGCGAACGCATTCTAGGAACGTGCAGTATATTATCGTAGGGCTCACTCCTGGGTTCGGCATAGTCGTCGCGTTCTAGATGAAGCGAAATCGGCGGTGCCAGAACATATGCATACACATACACACGCATATAAAACAGCATATATAAAAGAAGTAGATTTATGCGAAAACTTATAGAGAAATAATGAAATGAGTAAAAAACAATCGATTATCGCACGTACTTGCAGATAAGACTGGCAGTGACCGTAGTTGGTGTTGTTGAGATAAGTGTTGGCGCACATAGACATTGCTATCAACATAGGATATCCCAGTGGTAGAATGCTTGCGCGATAGAAGCAACCATAGCAAGCGTCGCGTCGTGTCGTATTAGAGCCTTGCGAGCTATTGCACAACTGATTAAGCAAATCGGGTATTCTCACTCTGAAAGGGAAAGCCACATCGTTACACAATATGAAAAAGATGTGCGCGTAAAATAAAAAAAAAAAGTTCACTTTTCATGCATAAGGATAATAATATATAGACAATCGGGATATACTGTTTAACCGCGACGAAGGATCCCAAAAACTTTCCCAGGCTCTCCTGCATCAGGGAATCGACGTGGTGCACGTCCGATATCGAGAACAGTATTAAAATCACGACCATCGTCGCTTTCGTCATCGTTGCGCGAGATCGTTGGGTCACCTGTTTCCGAATCGCGCCGCACTGTTACTTTTATACTGACGTGTGAATCTGATAAAACACACAGCAGGGATGTATTCACGTTGGTTCGTTCGGAAAACGTAGAATCTAATCCGTATGCACGATCGCATTTGTCGTATAAAAATCTTACATAGAAATTTCTTCAACTATCTGTCTGCATAAACTAAGAATCTCGTGTTTACCTACGCCGCTATCGTGAAAACGCTAATTCCCTGTATATATTCCTCTTCCTCCCGTAACTTAAATTACGAGTTGAGCGAGCAGCTAGTCGAGTGAGCTGCGATTTGTTAATCCGGAATTTATTAACGGAAGAAATCTGTGCAACTCGTGTCCGATTTCACCAACGTCGGTTAACTGCGACCGCAACCCGACTTACTCTTTATCTCTCATTAATTCCGACGCTAAGGTTCAAGTTAATCGGTATTAGTGAAACCAGTCTTTATTCCGTGATTCCTCTTTCCCTTTTTTTTCGTACGTGCTCGGTCGCTCCTGCGGCCCTGGCCACACTGAAGTTGCAGCTAAAGCGTAACGATTCCCATTACCTGCGACCTCGTGCATGAGGCCGTGACACGCGGTTGATCGTCGTTGTCTCGTGAAAATGGACCGTGAATAGGAGATCTGGGACGAACGGCTGAATCCCGCGATCGACTACGTCGGCGCGAACTACGTCGGACCGAAACGCGGCCGGCCGTTCGCATTATCGCTAAAAGCGCGGAATGCATTCAACGTGTCGCGCAGTCATCGGGCCGTTGCATTCTTCAGCGACACGCGACATAGCGTGCGTGGACGTTTATTTATTTTCCGCTCGTCCACGAAGCCGAAAATCCCCTTTTCTCAGTGATAATTTCCGCCGGAAGCGGGAAGGTCAGCTATGTCGGCCACGGTCAAAAATACGCACGACACTTTAGCGACATTGTTGCGATCTTCGTGTCGTATAGCGCGACGGATGATAATTTTTCTTAATTAGCCAGTATATTTATCGTACTTCATCCGTAGCTTTCAGAGGGACGAGAGCACCATCCGATCGCACATTCTTATGCGTTCATTTTGCGCTATCTCGCTCTCTCACGGTCGGAAATACGATTCGACTTCGCTCGTAAACTCATCGGACCGGCATCTAAACGTCGTCTGTAGCTCGTAAGAGTAAAGTGCACGCGAGAACGGCGAAATCAGGAGGACCTACCGCGTGCGTCCTGTCGGTTGGTTGGCAAAAGGCGCGAAAGTTTCTCCATTCCGTTGCTATCGCGGTGACTTTTAATCAGGCACTGTCGACCGTGCCATTTAGGAAGAGGATGTCACGAAATCAGCGCGCGCTTAACACGTTGGTCGCGACGAAAATGAAAAGGCAAATGGCGCGTCGTCGGGTGCTCTCTAATTTCGGGACCCACGTGGAAAAGTGGGCCATCGTGTGTGCGAGAGACGACACACGCGTCGCGGTTATTTGTGCGCCAGACAGACGCGGGGGGACCACGGGGTGAGGGCTGAAAATGTACCGGCAGGAGGGAGAAGAGAGAGAGAGAGAGACAAGCGGGAAAGCGGTGCAACCCCGACGACCAGAATTAGAATGACTCACGGGATTATTTGGGTTTATGTAATCCGAGAAATTCGGCGTGGCCGCCGCGACGTCGGTGACGTACTCTCTCCCTCGGTGTCACTGCGTCACCTCGGTTCAACACCGGGCCCGTCGAGGATCGTGGTATCATATTGCATCTTTGGTAACGCGCGTATACCCTCGTGATTATGCTCAGAATAGATTCGGCGACAGTCGCCACGCCGGTCACGGCAGGATAAGACGACGGCTGTCGTCGGGCGCTAAAAGCATCTCGGAAGATCGTAGCATCCCCCTCGTAACTTGGTCAGTAGAATTCAAGTTCGTCGTTAACGTCCCGATGTTTCTCTCTCTCTCTCTCTCTCTCTGTTTTTCTCGGACGTCAAAAGAAAGGAAGGGAGGAAGTCGCGAACGATGCGTTATTATGATTCTCGGTACGCGTAGACCGCGTGTATCGGACACGCTCACGTGGATGTTCTATCTCGTCGAATGTGTCGAGTGGTCGCCGATACTTGGCGAATGCAAGAAGCGGTGAGGAAAGTATCGTCGCAGTATCGTAAAAGCACCTTGGCCACGATCGACCGCGTTTAACACGCGCCACGTGTAAACGCGTCCCGAAATGTCGCAGAATGCGAATCTTCGAGGACACAGCGTCCGCTGTGTTCCCACCTCCTCCTTCATCCGATTCCTCGGCGGAACTCGATCAAAGGGAGACTTGAGGATTGCGCGTGTAGCGGCATCGACGATGTTCGCTGTAATTGCTCTTCGGGTTCTCTCCCTCTCTCGACGGAATCTAATTACGGTGTCTCAAAGAAATGCACGCGTCGCGCAACGCGCCCGGGCGACAGCTGCATTCTCTTCCCAATTTCTTCGCATCGCTTTGAGCTCTTTACTAAAGACCAATTAAACGGCGAGGCGTCTTTGAGGACCGCCGCGATGACTGGTGCGTCCTGTTGTCAATCAAACGTCCCGTCGTCGTCGCCGTGACCGTCTAATTAAGTAGGCGGTGGCTCAATCTTACCGCGAGTTCCACGAGCACTTTATTTCGACTTTCGCGCGTAGCCGTGCTCCCGCACTCGCTTCGTAAATAAAAAAGGCTCGTCCCGCGGCTCGTAAGTTCGTCCGTTCGTTACGGCGCACCAACGAAAGATTAATTTTGGCTGAGATTGCGCGCGAATGAGGGCCGCCACCGGGAGTGTCATCTCCACTGGATACTTTCCAATTACGAGGACGAAAGTTCGCAACTCCGTTGATTCGTCAGCTCAATCTCCGTTGGACGGTTCCCTCGTCGAATTAGGACGCGTACGCTCCTGATTAAAAGGTTAAAATTCGTTTCGCTTTGCCGCGTTTCGTTTCCTCGCGCTGCTTTGCAACCGTGTTGCTTTCTTCAGCCGTGACGAGGAAGAGAGAGAAGAGGGACGTCTCAATTATTTTTCCTCCCCACGGGCTTTCTCTCGGGATCCTTTCTGGCCGTCTGATAAGTGCATTAGTTGAACCCGGAAATTGGTCGACACCCCGTGGCGTGTGCGCGCATTAACCCCACCATTTGGTTCCCGTCGTTTCAAACGCAACAATGTAAAAAAAATCCGCGAGAGAAGGAGAAAGAGGTAGGACACCTACGTGGACGAAGGAAAAGGTGTGATCCACGTGTGAGCTGTACATCAACAGATTTTAACCTACATACACCGACGCTTTTTTTTCGCGCGTTTCACCCCCGTGGAATGCTTTTAGCTGCAAGAGCACACAATGCCGAGTGCTTTGTGTCGAATCGCTGAAAGAAACAGCTCCGACGGCCTTTAACGACAAAATCGCGACTTCCTTCTTCCATCCGATAGCGATTAAATTGCCTTTGGGATCGGTACTTATCGGTCCCACACTTTACGCTACAGATTTCGAATATACGAGATCTTTAATGATACATCCTTTGCATATACGTACACTTTGAGCCTCGAATTCTATTTCCTCTCGTGTTTCTTTCAACGGTGAACCATTACAGACAATCACAGAACATTTGCCGCCGTAACTTTCCTCGCCGTTTTTTAACGTAAGTTTGGTGAAGGAAAGAAATATAAGCCGTTCAGGTGTTCTCCGAGCGCCGTCGAATCGACAGGCCGAATCCGTGGGCGAGGTATATACGAGCATGTAATACGACGATAAAGGCGGTCCTTTTCCTCGTAATACGATCGTATTCGTCACCCCCGCAACTTGACATATCTACCGCCGCACATGCACATACATTTTCCTCGGCCGCGTGCACCCTAATTCGCAGGGACTCAGACAGAGTGTAGGCAGCGGGCTCATTTTACGTGCACGGGTCGTTAGGTTTTCGAGCGACCTGGCTGCGCGTCTACGAGTATCGTAAGAAATTGGCGGTGATAAAAATCAGTTGGCCACGCAAAAGACGCGCGTATCGGTCCCAGGAGCGTCATTCGATAATATAGCGCATAGATATCCTAGATAAATTTCAAGGATCTTTTGCAATAATAATATTATTGGTATTGCAATAGCGATGTGCTGAAAACAATGATAAAAACAATAATAAGATTCGAAATTCCGGGCCATTTAGAAAATGATTATAAATTTTTATCATTTTCATGTACATTTTATATATTATATATTTTTATTCCTACATATATTATTATTTATATTATGTATACAATGCAAGTCAACGCGAGAATTGGTCGTTTATCGTACCTAAAGCGTTATTTTCATTTTGGCATTTGTGAGTGCATTACGCACAATGAACATTTCTACTAAATTTTCTCACGAACGCGACACAAATTATAGTTTCTTTTATAGTTTCTTTTATATTTTATACATATCGCTTGTACAGTTGACAAAATTTTTTTTAGCCGGGATATATCCGCGAATTGCATTTCAAGGAGGTTGCGTGCGAATTATTAAATCTTAATGCCGCTTTACAATCCATCAGTAGTCCTCTGCGTATTACGTAAACTCTCTCTCTCTCTACCACCGTGGCAAATAGTTTCAAGGTATTTCGCTGGATGTGAATACTTTGTTGCAGGAAACGCGTTACGCCGTTGCATCTGACGCTGATGCATACCTGGATGTTGCAACGAATTAGCGTTTGCAGTGACGGTGCACATCCAGCGTTTTGATGTCACGTTATTCGTGCCTACATGTGCATTCGCGCAAGTTGCATGTCATCGGCACAAAGGCTACATTGTATTTATCTGCGAAAACGTCGATTAGCAGTTTCGACGTCATCGATGTCACGGGTGCCGCCTCTGCCACCTCTGCCACCTCGCTGCTTTCGACGTGCGTCTCGGAAACGCCTTCACGCCGAAAAAATGCCGTACGAATGGCCGTGCGAGAAAAAGAGAAGCGCGCGCAAATGCATTTCCGAGGAACACGCTCGTTAATTTTAACGATCTCATCGAAGTGGCAG